TATTTATTACACTTTTATAGCGACGTTACATTATACACTTTAAATTCTGACCTAGTTGCAGCGAACGGGAGAGGGAGGAGAAGACGGGGCGCGTTGGTACCCCGGCGCTTTGGCTTCGCGCGCTTACACGCGTGTGCACACACGCTGATATAAACATTCCATTCTACGTTCTAACACTTAAATTAACATGCTCCCGAGCGTTTTCCGCGGGATAACGCATTGCGCGCGGGCAACGCGAAAACGAATGAAATATCACACATCACTCCCCGCGCGCACGGGGATTCGATTGAAATCATAGTCGGAGGGTTGGGGGACTATTTTTGGAAATCATTGAAAAACGCGAAGCAGCCGCGCAGCAGGCGGCTGCTGGAAAGAGCGGAGAGCCGGAGCAACGAGGAGCAGCCGGAAATCAAAGTTTAACAAGAAGACGCTCGTTTCGACCGATATTGAAAGCTCGTTTTCCCCGTCAGTGGCTACCATCGAAGCATGCTCGGCGAGTGCGCATCGCTGCATTCCGGGGGTTGCAAGGGGCGCGGAATGAAGACCCGTGAGAGATCGGGGAGTCGCTCCTCGGTCTCTGCGAAAAACGGCGGTTGCTCTCCCTCACTCTCGCTTCCCTTCTGTCACTCCCTAACCTAACCCTCTTTCCTTTCCCTCTCATATCGACCAGCACGGCGCGTCGGAATGCCGATCGTCCTGCGAGTTCGCATCTTTTCTTTTCCTCATTCAGCCGCGCGCGCTTCACACACCCGGGGAACAGCACCCGCTAAACATCCCGCGCGCATTTTATTCGGCCCCATATCATCTATTTGTCCTCGGCGCATCTATATGCGGCCTCGCGGCGGACTATTCTCGGAGTGAAAGCCGCTCCTCTCGTCGCACCGTTCACTCGCCACCGCCGCCGCGTGTTTCGAGAAACGCTCCAACGTATCCAACGACGATACGCTGCCGTGACAGTGATACGCGGCTCTACGGGGATCATTAGGGTGCCTGCGACATTATCTGGCTGGCTGCGATCGACGAGGCGGCGCGGCGCGGCGCGGCGGCCGCCGCGGAGGACGCTGGGTCGGCGCCGGCGGTAACAGCCAATTAATTCGCGCTCGGAAATTTCGTGGCGGAGTGAATCGGAAAACGATCCACTCGGGAAACAGGATATCTCGTGCTTCTGCACATTCCGCCAGTCTTTTCTGTTAATTTTAATTAAGCGACAGAGGGAGTGAGAGGAGGAGAAAGGGAGAGGAATTATCGCACTGACGATTTCAATCAGCCACCCAACCCTCTCTCTCTCTCTCTCTCTCTCTCTCAAAGTGCTCGGAATTCTTTCGCAAATCCCGACCGACGGGATTGATCGTTGCGCGCACTGTACGTCGTTCCGGTGAACTTAGCGCGGACATCAATGCCGATTACGATACGTGTGTACCTCCGAGTCGCGAACACGCGGTTGCCCGCGATTATTAATAACGAACGAAAATCCCTCGGCGGTTCGCGCGTCTCCGAGGCGCGTTACCCACGTCGTCGCGCTTAGGGTCAACCAAGACCGCCGTCGTGGTAGCGCGAGAGGGTCGACGAAAGCGCGAGACAAATTGAGCGCCCGGGCTTTGTAAGACGCGACCTAGCCGTGGAGCGTAAGCCCGCGACGTAGAGATGAGATGGAAAGAGAGAGCGAGAGAGAATGAGGAGAGAGAGAGAGAGAGAGAGAGAGAGAGAGAGAGAGAGAGAGAGAGGAGCGCGTCGAGAGAACGCGCGGAAAAGAGATTCCTGAGCGAGCGCAGGAATTTCGCAGCGATCTCGCCGCCGCACGACGCGCCGCCATCCGCGGAGATTCTTCCCGAGAGGATTACACAATGAAATATATTTCTCCGCTCTTTCGCGCTCGCGCTCTCTCGCCCGCGCTCGAGCGCGCTCTCGTCGGCGGCGCACCCTCGCTAAATATAAGCGCGCCGCTTCGCACCGGCGAGAAACCCCCACAAATCACAATGCCGAAAAAACAAGACGAACGAAGAATTCTCTTTCTCTGTTTCTCCCTCTCTCTCTCTCTCTCTCTCTCTCTCTTTTGCGCGCGCGGCGGATCCATTAAGTCACCCCTCTTCCCCTTACCACCCGCTGCTCGCCCGACGTGAGCTTCCTCACCTTGCTTGCGGAGTGTATTACGGTAAACGATCGCGGGATCACTCGATAATGCCACTACTTAGTGGCTCTTTAAATGGCGAACGGATAAGCGAGAGACACCGTTGGACTGCGCCCCGTGGAAAATAAGTTCGTCGAAGTTCAATTCCCCTCGCCTAGTCGCCCTTTCCGATCGCGCGATCCCATTTTTGTCCTGTCGCGTGGCCTGTAATTTCCGCGAACCGGCGGATATGATCGTTTAATCCGTTCCACGAACCGAACCGGACTGTAGCGATGGTTGTATTGAATAACGGGAGATGTATCGACTCGCTTTACTGCGCTTCACCTTGTCGTCGAAGATTCTGAGAAGACCGAGAGTTCTAGAAAACAGCGGACCACCACGGCGAGTCGCGCTGATAACATTATAAAATTCTCTGCCCCCCCGCCCCCTCTCAAAATTCTCATCTCCTCCCTCATAATTCTACCCATTTCTTCGTGAAATCTTTCTGCTTAGTGATGGGCAAATATCGATCGATGAAACAAGCATCGATTCTTATTTTCTTGAAAAATCGATTAGATCAGACCGATATTTTTGGGGCCGATTATTCCCTAGATCGATTATTTCTTTCGTCGATTATATTATTAGATCTGTTACTAAATTTTTATCACTAGGGAATTTGTTTACTACTATTAAGGACCGTCTACAATAGCTGCAAAAATAAAGTTGTAACAGTGAACAGTAAAAAATAAGCTAACAACAGTCGACTATTATAAGAAACGACTTTAATTGGTTTATTTCTTGTAGCTTACGCTTGCAGCCTTATTCTTATTTAAGCTTATGCTTGCAGCCATTGTAAAAGGGTCTTTAAGGTTTTAATAATATATTAAGTTATATATTAAGTTGCAACATATAACTCTTCACATTAATCTAAAATAAACTAGGAAAACATCGATTATTATCGATATTTTTAAGAAAATATCGATTATGCAAAAACGATTTTTTTCGATAATCGATTAAATCGAAGACGATGCTATTTTTTGTTTACGAAGCCCATCCCTACTTTCCGCGATTGTGTGTTCTTGTTTTTCTCTCTACCTCTTCTATTTCATTTTACTCTCGACGGCGCAGAGATTTCGGAAGATAATAAAATCCGCGGTTAAACGGACGCTGGGCATACGTATAATTGTATGTGTATCGATGGATATCGATGGGTCTGTAACAACGAATGGAGGAACTTGGAACGAATGGGGCCGGGCGAATGAAATCCACGACGCGTGGATGAAACGAGTTCGATGAAAGAGAAACACGATTACTTTCCAATTAACGTCCGAAATCGGGATGGCTCCGAGACGTCGATATTCGCGATATATCACCGGCTGTCGCTCGGTGCGAAATTTAACGAACCCGGCGGGCTGAAAGCGCCTCGCGATTCGTAACTTCATCGTCGATACGGGCTCGCGCGAGCTTTTGTGCGCGAGCTCCAAAGTGACGCGGAAGGTAAAGTTGCAATGTCATGTGTTGCACGTTACGAAACCGTAGCTCTTTTACGACTACGTCACTGACAAGTTACGGAATTACATTTCGAGTGCGCATGTATATATGTGTGTGTGTGTGTGTGTGTGTGTGTGTGTGCGGCCGGACCAAAGTCGGTGGATGCGTGGGGTACAAAGAATTAATGTTCCGGAGACGCCCAAAGAGCAAACTGAATCCGTAATTTGTAAAATCCACTTTAGATACTGTGCCCTGTGAGAGGGAGATAGATCTGTCGTCTGCTCTCTCCCTCCCCCTCCCTCCTTGTGTCTCACGCGCGCACACTGAACGCTTCATTTATCGCCGCGTTGCACATCGGCATATTTCCGTTACGGTAATTATCATAAACGATGCGGCGCGCGCCCTCCCTGTGAGAGCTAGAAACTCGAGCACAATCCTTTTTCCGTCCACCGGGAAGAAAAAAACGATGATATGAGCTTAATGGTGTCGCGGGTCAAAAACCATTAGAGCCGGTTGGTCGGTGCACGATGCACGTGTCGGACATGTGTGTATCACTACGTGGACTATGTCAACTGTGCGAGTCTTGGACGCATCTCGTGGTAAAAAAGCATGACGTTCTATTCTATTCTTCCATGAGAAGCTCCTTCTTTCGCTCCGTCGAGCAAAAACGCGAGGGGCATTAGACGCGAGGCGTAATCCGAGACGCAAGAAACTTCAGTTACGAAATAATATCGGAAACCGTCCGATGATGCGTCAGGTTTTATGTCGAATTAGAGATATATCTAGTCAGTCAGATAAGTTGCATCGCGAGAAACGTTTCTAATATTGGGAATCTCAGGAAATATTATCACAGGACCATCTTCATCGAATGACCATTCAGAACCCGATCGATCCCGAATCGAAATTTTGATCCTATTTTCGGTCTCAACCGTCCAGCAATTACAGATTTTTACGAACTGATGGAGAGATTTAATCTATATAAACTAAAGTCTTACTCACACACACACACACACACACACATACACACATACACACACAGCGCTTCTCTGAATGGTGGAAGATGCACAATTTACCATTCGTACATTCTTAAGAGGATAAAAATGGGTTAATGAAATCAGAATAGATTGATATAGGCTTCGTTTAGCGTTAAATGGAATGTTAGAGTCAAAAAATCGTAATAGAATCGTAATAGGATCGTCGAAAATTTCGACTTGGGATTCTATTCGTCGAATCAAATATTTAATAGGAATTATATTCGTGATGGAGCCGCGAAATTCGCCGCTAGGAGAGAGAGAGAGAGAGAGAGAGAGAGAGAGAGAGAGAGAGAGACGAAACCGACCGACGTTAATTATTAATTGCAGTTATCGCGCACGCGATGTGTATGTGTATTATATATACGTGCCATATTTTCGGTGGAAGGATGATCCTGATGTCCGGAGGGTCGGTTACCTTGCAGCAATGCCTCGAGGCTCTCAATGTACTCGATAGCGTTGCGCAGTATCTCCACTTTCGGTAAACGCTGGTTAGGATTGTTGCTGGTTCTCCGCTTGAGCACCTCAAACGCCTCGTTAACCTGTCGCAGAAATGTATAGTTGCATAATTAATCAGCCGCGTCTCCAGTCGCGAGCGGAACTTATAACATTAGAATGTGGAACTGAAGCGTCCGATGTATCTCTCTTTTCCTATCTGCAATCCTATCTGCAACTGAAAGGAAAATGCTTGCGCAACAATAGTAACTTAACAAAGAGGTTTCCGAGAATGCGGGAGTTCCTCTAAAGCTGTAGGTTAACACACTCCTCTCACAAGACCCGTGCAAAAGCAATGCTGTGGAGAGTTACTGCGTAACTGAACAGTCATTGTCGAAATAGGAAAGAAAGGCTTAAAGCGAGACAAGTTTCCTGTTTCTCTCCCCGCCGCGGTGTATACATAAAGAGTCACAGGGCCTTTTTCTTAAGCACAATATCTCTCTTTGCTGAACTCTTGTCTGTGTTACACGAGCGACAGGGACGACCGAGTGACTCTCGGCATAAGATTTAATCCTTAGGTCTACACTCAAAACGCTATCCGTCATCCGAATCATCTGAAGCGTCGCTTCGGCCGCGATCACTTTGTGTAGAAATGTGTTTTCTTTCTGTCAGCGCGCTTCCTTTGAGGTTGTTTGCTGCGAAAACACAGCTCGCATGTGGCATGCGCTTTAAGTAATTATCAAGTCGGGCTAGCCAAAACAAAGCTCGTGGTTTACGCCGAGCATTCGGTTGTTACGTTGAGCATTTCAGTTCGATAAACAGGAGAAACATGATACAGGTGTGCGACATCGGTGCTCGCACACATACGGTACTCGTCCGATGTCGAAGCGCAAATTAATTGATGACACCGCGATCTCCGATTTCAGATGAAAAATCGCAAAGAGAGAGCAATTAGTCCCGCAAGTGCGAAGGCAGCGAAATATCGAGGAAACAGAGCGCCAGGGTTCGCGTGTTGTCTGAGAGATAAATCCCACGTGAGACACGCGGTGTGTTTTGGAGAAAACCCCGGCATTGTGCTGAGAGATTCAGCCGCAGCCGCTCGACGCTGAAGCACGAGCCGAGTGCGCTTTATTCGGCGCTTCAACGCTAGAACCACGGAAGAAGTGACTCTCCCTCGTAATTTCTTATAAAAGTTAAGTATAACCCAAATCTTCTCACACAATGGTGCATGTTACATTCGCAATTGACGTCGGACAAAACACGAAGAGCGAAAAGATAAACATTCTCCCTCGCGTTACGTCCTTCCTTTCCGAGTAGCTGTCACTTTGACAGCTCTCTTCAGATTAGAAGAACAGTCGTTAATCGGCGGTAGTTGTTGCTAAACGGACAAAGCTGACCTTTCTCAAGCGGCGTCTCTCCCGTAAGGTTGCCGCTTTCCTTCGATCGACAGTGACCGTTTTCTTCTTGCAGGCCTTGCAGGCCCACAGGAGACATCTGCGCGGGCCGTGCGGCGAGCCGGCGTCTAAAACGTGCGGATGCGGCACGTGCTCGATCGACTCGCCGTCGTTCGCCTCGCTCGTCTCGTTGGTCTCGCCGGTCTCGTTGGTCTCGTTGGTCTCGTCGGCGTCTGCGGAGCCGGACTCGAGGTCAGCCGAGGCGTCTGCCGATATCACCGACGAGGCGTCGTCCGAGTCGAGGGTGTAGCGGGACTGCGACCTGTCAACGTCGCGAGCTGTCTCTTTGCACTCGTCGAGATTGCACGCGGCGAGAGGGAGCGTTTAACGTGAACTTACGTCTTCGAGATCGACGTCTACGATACTACCGCAGCCGTCTCTCCGCTTGGGACGACGTTCTAACAGCGATCGAATGACTGCGTTTGGCAGAGGTAGCTGCTCCGCGACCGTCCTCAAGTTTGTGAGTCTGATTAGCGCGGCTGATACGCGCGCCAAGGCCACATTAATAATTCGCTTTCCTGTTCGGGATCATCTTGGGGCTCCGTCTTCAGATGCGAAACGATTTGTGCGGCATCTGAAGATGAAACTTGAGACGATGATAAATATGATAACGGACTGTGAATATGAGTGGCCGAGATTCGCTCTTAGATTCGCTCGAGATTATTCTGATACGATCTGTACGATGTTCTGATTAGATCCACAAATTTCACGACAGTCGCGAAACAGCTTCCTCCGCCGGACGCAGCCAATGAGGCGCGACCACCCCCTGGTGTCCGCGCGGCGAGTACAGTCGCAGAGTTCGCCGCAGATTCTTAGTCTCAATCGTCTCTTTAGTTAGCGTCACCGGACAGCGGTTAGTAGCGAACACGGTAGACGCGTAGGTCCGTCAGGAGGCGGTTTCCGCGCTTGGACACGTTCCAGGTGGTCCGCGAGCACGCGAGAGTATTTTCTCTCGGGCCGCGGAGAGACGGCCTCCTATGTCCCGGCGGGTGGAACGGGCTATCGCGAAACGCGATGAACGAAGTGAAAATGGTTTAATGCGTCGGTAAAACCGTCGTCGGCTTTTCATCGCGGCCAGCGACTCGCGGCGATTCGATTCGGCGCGCGGCCACGATAAACGCGAAAGCGTGAGTCGCGCAAGGGGAAAGCCGAAGAAAGAACGAAGAAGAACAAGAGTGGAGAAAGAGAGAGAGAGAGAGAGAGAGAGAGAGAGAGAGAGAGAGAGAGAGAGAGAGAGAGAGAGCAAGGGTTCTTTTTCTTTCGAGGGATCAGTGCGAGCCGCGATGTGTAAAACGCAAGCTCGCACGATGTGATCGTCGCGTGATCGCGCGAATAATTTCACCGCGAGTGATTTTCCACGACAAAAGCTTCCCCGCTGCGATGATTTCATATTTCGAGCATAAAAGGATGCTTGACACGCAATTGAAACACGATAATGTATAATGTGGAATTCCTTAGGCCTTCATTATGAGAGTCCTCGGAGAGGATTAGAATAAACTTCTTATTATATGTCGTATTTTCGGCACGTCGCGCATTATGCTCCCGACAAAACGTGTTTTTGCGGCCTCGTGAGCCGCACTGTACGCGTGTCGCGAAGAAAACGACAGATAGCAGATAGCGACACAATAGCAGGCTGAGCGGGAACGACGCGACGCGAGTCCAATCCACGCGTATCCTTGTAACGCGCTGCGGAGGAAAAGGCCGCGAGGTGAAAGAAGCGTGACGAGGCTGGGAGGGAAAAAAGGGAAAAGGCGGATCGGGGGATCTCACGGAGACGATCAATCTTGTCGCGCCGTACGTATGAGGAACAATTAGTTCTATTTCTATGAAGTATCCATCGGTTGGACGAAGCTTTTAGGCGCTAATTCATCAAATGCCGCGGCTCTCCCATGAAAATTTCATATTCCGAGCCCAAGATAAATGCGTGTGCGTGTAACTTTCTCTCTCTCTCTCTCTCTCTCTCTCTCTCTCTCTCCTTCCCTCACCCTTCCGTTCTTTCCTCCTCCTCCCAGAATACTGAGCGTGCGTCGATCTAGCTCCAGAAGCGCGATGTAATCAAAACCGCGCGGTTACATCCGCAGCTCACCTGATGCGATCGCTGCGATCGCGATAGTTCAACGGACTGGCGACCGCCGCGGTCAACGCGTTGTTACCGCCGACGATTCTTGCGCGATCGTCCGTGTCCCTCCTGGAGACGTAACTCTGCAGGTACTCGGGCTCCGTCGGCGTGTAGACGCGCCGGTACCGATGATGGTGGTGGTGGTGGTGGTGGTGCAGATGATGATGACGGTAACCGTCGTAAGGCGGCCTCGTCACCGTCTCGTAACCGTAAGGCACCGCGTCTGTCACGAGGGTCATCATTTCACGCGATTTGTCGGAGGAGATCTTTCGCTCCGCTCCACTGTTGCTCTGACTTCACCTCGATCGCCGTGAGACAGTTCCCGAAGCGCTCGGAACATCCGCGCGGTCACCCTCGCGAGAGCTCATCACGAGCGAAGCTGTCGACCGGCGGTCTTGCGGACTCGCGATCGCTTCGTGCGGAATGGTCGCTGGATCCGAGGTGTCCTCAAGGCGGCATCATCCGCGAGTGCTGGTCGCCCGACTTCTCGTCGACATTCGCGCGATCGATACACGGCTTTCCTCGGGTTTCTCGTCTCTCAACTCTGTCTGAGCCGGAGCTAGCCGGAAGATACGAATCCCTCGAGAGATCGTCAGACGGCCGTTTGCGAGTGTAAAGATGAGGAAGTTAGATTCCGCTCAGAAGCGGAATCAAGCGACGATGACCCGCCGCCGACGGCGTGTTTGCTCTCCACTCCACTCGCCGCAATAACGGACTTACTTTTCCCTCTCTTTGTCCCTCCTCGCTGGAATAATGAATCAGCGGTGTCGCGACGAAGACAGGGACGCGTTTGATAGTGTCGGCGTTAACTCCTTCTTAAATTCTTCGTGTCGTCTCCGGGTCGCCGCGTCAATTCCGTCCGGGGCGCGCTGCGAAATCTTCTGCTCCGATTCGCTGAAACCGTAAAGGACCCACCCCCGCTCTCACTCTCTTGCCACGTTCAAGTCACTCAGGACTTACTCCTTTACTTGTCCGTTGCCTTGTATTCCTGTTCCTTTTTCTCTCTTCACTTTGCACGATGAGCGGCGCACAACCCCGAGGGGGAGGGGGGGGGGACACCAGTCGTAAATCAAAATCGAGATCGATCTCACGGAGGGCTAACTGAAGAACAGAGTTTACCCGAACACACCACGCGAAGAATGCCCGGCCGCTAATCTTGTCTAGTCTTGACGATAACGGTCACACGCGTGACGACGTAGACGTCGTCGTCGTCGCGCATACATAAACCCGCGATTTCGCGCGAGCGTGCGAGCGCGCGCGCGCGCGCGCAAAAGAGAAAGGGAGATAAAGAGAGGCTGCGACGGCGCGCTCTCGTCTAGCGAGATCTACGGAGACTGCGCGGAGGATGAAGCGCGAAACAATAAGCCGCACTACTCTCTTCCACCATTGGGAGGGTACTCCAAGGAGAGCGCACTCCACGCGAAATGTCGCGGAAGGTCCAGCGCGCGCGGAAGAATCTCGGCGCGCGAGTTTTCACCCTTTCCGATTTCTCCCGGCGAGCTTCCGCGCGCGAGCCGCCGGACGTCGGACGTCGGACGTCGGGGACGTCGGGGACGTCGTGAGGAGGTGCGCGCGACAGATCCGGGAACCTTCAAGTCGCAGATCAGAGTGAAGACTTAGGCGTCCTCCCGCGGTATCGGTCCCTCCGCCACATGGCATCTTGTGACGCGCGCCCGAGTGCCGGGTCGTTTCGGCTGAGGGGGTACACGCGGGCGGACGCACACTCGCACGACGGCGAAACGACGCCGACGAATATTTTACGCGCTCGCGTGTGTCGCGTGGGTCACACCCAGGCTGACTATTTTTAAGAACACCCGGCCAATCGCGGCCGGCGAAAATCGCCTTCGGGCCCGCCGTCGCTCCGCCTCTCAGCTGTCATAGATGCACGAGTTTGGCAGGGGCTCATCACGGGGTGTGGTTTGATCATTAATAAGAGCTTAGATTCGTCGGACTAACGCTCGCGGCCGCGATGCGAGGGTGCGAACGAGCGCGAGAGCGCTCGGGGTTTTAAGCGGCGGCATTAGTTCTCTAGCGGTGGTCCGGAAGAGTAACGAGCCGAACGAGACGTTAATCGACTGAGTGTTGTTACCGTAAACATTAGCCCCCAGAGTGTAACCTGGCTTTAAATTGATTCGCCGCCGTACCTCTGCGCGATTCTCCGCGCAGAGGACGAGGGGGGGAGAGAGAGAGAGAGAGAGAGAGAGAGAGAGAAAGAAGGGGCGAGAAGTCACCGATCGTGTCGATGTTGACGGATGTTGACGAAAAGCTTCCTGTACGCACGCATGCAAGCGTGTTTTTCTATGTAGTTTTTCTATGTAGTTGATTCGAGTCGTTGCGACTACCTGAAATAGAAGTTCGGACCGCAAATGGTCGAAACATGTCGTGCCGAGAGCGACTATGAAAAAAAAATTGGTCGTTGCCAATAAAACTATTTTCCTTCTTTTTTTTTTAGTTCGCCATCTATGCACTTTTACGTCCCCCGATAGTCGGGGAATGAAACGGAAATTGCCAAGCAGATTGCAGGTCCTCTCGTGCAAAAAGCGAAGAGAAGATGGCGGGGGAAAAGGGAAAGGAAGCGATCTGTCTCCGAAAAGATTCCGAAGTTGTCTGCGAAAGCGCACCGTACGTTCTTCCATGTCGTCAATGGCGTCTTGACTTCTCGTCGATCGGGACGATAAATCCCAGGGGGCATTAATCCCTTACCGATTATCAATCGTGAAAGCTCCGCTTGATGAGATCATCTGCTTCACCGGATCGCTTCCACGCGCGCGCTTTTTGACTCAATGACAGCGATTCCGCGGTTTGTCGGTGCTTTTAAGTATTCCCATCTACTGAGACAAATCAGTTTACAAATCGGCAAAAAGAGATGTTCATTACAGTGGGTCGCGGTTTTTGACAGATATTCCAATACGCGCGTCCGATAGTCGATTCGATTTGCGGTCTGTCGGCGGAGCGGGACTGTAACCTGTGGGACTATATAGGACAGTTACATATATGTACAGACAGCCGCAGCTACCCTCGTCGTTGGTTACACAGATATGCAAACTTTATGTAAATCTAGCTGCCGTCTGTCACATTTTACGCTCCGCTTTCCATGGAATTAAAATAGACTATTGAGCGTCGAATAAAAGCTAAAATTACCCTGGCAGCAATCCAGACGAACGCAGATAGAAAACGGGCTAAAGGGTTTTAGCCTACCTTCGACAAATCTCGTCGAATGGCAGTCGCCATAATAAGTGCTCCCTCGCGCGACGACGGACGCGTGCACGGAAAAGCAAAAACGCCGGGACGATCTCGCTCTCGCGACGAGGCAACGATCGACGTGTCCTGTGCGAGCGCGACGTCGAGAATTTCGCAATGTTGAACCGCGGAAACGAGCAGCGACTGTGAATAAACGGTGCTCGGGGAAACTTGTCAAGCGGCACGAAGCATCGACATGAGGATATCTGCATGCTTCGGGGGGGGGGAGGGGCAGGGGGAGGACCTAATTAGCAATGGAGGGAAGATATTTCGAGTTTTTCCCGCCGCGGCTATATTCGACTTTATAGCAGCTCGCGTTGAGGCTGTGACGTTTGCGGCCGATTCAAGTAGTCCTCTCGAGAGGATTTACTATGTCAATTTATTGTAGCTTGTCAACATGTTGTAAAATGTACGCGAGCGAAGTAAGTATGTCTGAGCCGAATGATGACAAGCCGGACCCACACTTGTGTGCACAGAGCGAGCGCTCCACAAGAGGTTGCGAGAGGGCCATCTGAAGAAGATGACTCATACCAGAGACGTTCGATCTTTGTCTAGCTTCGGTCCTATTTTGGAGAAAGCTAGACGAAGATAGCGTGCCTGTATGGACAGCGGTAGGAGAATACAGCTGTCCTTTGCACATTGTCTTCAAATCTCTCACAAGAAGGCGCTGTCCATGGGTGCGTTTACGGAGACGCTATTAGTGCTATTTAGCGCTACAGGCTGTTCGCAGAGCTAGACGGTGGCGCTAATAACAGCTGTGACGTCATTAATGGTAGCGTTTACATTATAACTTCGCGCAATCAATGCTATTTCTTCCGAGGTAAAGTGTGAAGATAGCGTTTGCGTTGGTAGCGTTTGTAAGCTCCGTGAACACCCAGAACACGGTGATATGAATTATACAAAGTGCTGGTATTAATTATTTTTATTTTATATATGTTATGAATATATATATACATAATGCAGTACTTCCACCGACATTAAATCGTTCAGAAATTGGTCTCAAACATTAAGAAGTATATTTAGAACATTTAGAGATATATGAAACATATATCAAAGTTGTTTTCTACTTTCTAGTAACACGATCAGTATTAATATCGTTAAGCATATTCAACACAACTGTATGTTTAGCAAATGTTTTGTGTTTATTATTTAATATCGAAGAATCTGGAGTAGTTGGTCTCTACAATGTCGACAAACACTGTATATACATGAGGAAATCATTGGTGTTCCTGCTGTTTTTCTTTATAATTTAGACGCAATAATAGATAAAAGATACTCAAAAATTTCAGGAAACATCCTAAATCATATATTAATCGCTTATTATTTTAATTAGATAGTAGATTAGATAGTTAAAATTCTATTATTATAGACGCATTTCGATAGAAATATTAAAAAAAGACATTATTTACTTAGCTGAAATGAACCTCAAAATCTTGATTTGTTAAAGCTGGTACTATTATTTGTACATAATTAGGTATCCTCGACACTTTTCTTCTTTGATTTAATGTTTTCTGCAATACTGCGATTTCTTCGATTTTTAGCGTCACTTGATGAAGAGTTTACCAGCTTTTGTATTTCCAGAGCTAATAATGGTGTTAAATCTTTTCGATTTGTCTTCATTTCCAATGTCGTTCCAAATAGAAGCTAATAATTTCAAACACCCTCCAAAAGTCTGTTCTGCAGCAATGGCAACGCTATGCTGAAGCTGTTCACGGAGCTCGCTGTCGCAATCGCGCTATTGGCTCCATGAACGGCTTTGATAGCATTTCCGTTGGTAGCGTTAATAGTACCTCCTTGAACATACATCCTATATGTACAAGCCGAGCGACACGAAATACCGTAACTTTCTCTTTATCACAAATTGGTACAATTGTCGCGCCGTCGCCTATTATAGATTATAAATACACCCTCCAGTCGAGGTATCTCGATATCGATGGTCCGAAGGGAGAACATAACCAACAAATAATAACATCATTATCAGCTGAGTGGCATAGCCGGTGTTTCCGCGGTATTTCCCCAGGCCCGATTTTCTGGCCGTTGCGGCGAAAGTTACGCGAGTCGGCGGCTACGCCGCCGAAGTGCATTATCGTTCGTCAATACAACGACGAGATCGCGTCGTGAAGAAGGCTGATACTGACCAATATTCATCGCGCCAGACCACATTCGGCGACACAGAGCTTCTGATGAAAGTCTCATCCTCATAATTCCACGCTCCGTCTTAGTACCTGTCGCAAGAGACAAAGCCAATTACCTCTAAAAGCGGTCATTATCGGACGACGTTAGAAATTCCCGTAGCTGAGTGCCGCTTCCGCGCGCTGGCCCTGCGCTGCCGAACCGCCTCGAGCGCGACGAGCATATACCTACATCTCGAGGATAAAGACGCGCCCTTCGCGTCCCCCGACGGCCAGGGGTGAAAAGCGGCGGCACGGACTTCATTTTTCATTCGCTGTCGCAGTGTCCGCTGGTACATAGCCCAAGACCTACATGAGCTCGCGCATTCCCGCATGCTGCTGTACACGTAGACGCGCGCGTGCACACGTACGTGTTCGGCGTGTGTATGTGCGACGCGCGCACTCGCAGACACGGGGGGTAGTCCTCCCTTTCGCACTCCGTCGTGGAAGCTCGGCGCGGTTCGGATGCGCCCGTCCGCACCAGGGTCGAGCGGAGGAGGAGGAGGAGGAGGACGAGGAGGACCGCGAGGCGCAAAGAGTACAACCCTGAGGAGCGAGACGCAAAACAGGTCACTCTCGCCTCCTTTCAGGATTCGGCTGGCTGGGATACCTACATCTGCCAAAGTTCACGGGAGGGCAATGCCTCGCCCACTTTTACGGGAGCGCACCACCGCCAACGGGGTGCCGTGTCTTAATCCTTTGCACCCCCAGCGTCCCGGCGTTTTGCAACTTTCCTGTTTTGCTTTCGCTCCCTCCCGGAGCCTTTGTAATTTTGCCGAGCATAAGCGAGCGGAGGAGAGGTGTAAATAAATCTTCCGCGGTAATTGAAAAGTCAGCGGGCAAGAGCGAATTCGGGACTAAGGAAGCGAACTGTTTTCAGGAAGAACGGTCTGTACACACACGTTTTCTGAAAACACTCCCTTACAAACTTCTTTGGACCTCGGGCTCACGTTCACACCGGGCTGAAATGTTCTCTATCCTGGCGGGGATTTTTATTTACATCCTTTTACGTTTATTACTCGCGCGTCCTTCGATAGCGTCGTGTTGATGTTGAAACAACTTCTCTTCCGGGCTCTTCGTCTTAAAACATCTTCTCAAATATTTTCCCAGCCATTTCCGACATTCCTTCGCCGGCAATTTTCGTTGCAGATCTTTTCGCTGACGCTCCAACGAGACAACGCTCGCGAACGGTCTCTCGCGCTGCCGAGCGGCGCGTCGCGCGTAGTTTCGGTGTAATCCGATGTGACTTGGAGCCGTCTTGAATTCTCTTCGA